CACATGGGTGTTACTACACATGGATATTATTACTACACATGGGTGTTGTCACATATGGATGTTATTACACATGGACATGGATGTCACTTATATCCACATCCCTTCACAGTGAATACTAAGGGTTGTTGTTGTTGTTGAAGAGTTAATACAAGTGAAAGACTTTTTCTCTCCCCCTCATGTCCCTCCTCCCTCTCTCTTTCTCTAGAATTTCCGTAACTTTTTAACCTGGATATTCCCTGAATGGCCACCTTCAGAAGCTATCGACCGGCTGGAAGTCATCCCCAAAAATACAAAGAAGAAACTGTGGAATTACGACTATGGGGACGACAGTGACAGTGACGAAGAGGTCCCCAAAGCAAGTGTCACTGGATACACCATGCATGGACTGACAGGCAAGCCTCTGCAACAAACCTCTGACACCTCAGCCAACCCAGAGGAACCCCCACATGAAGAGGACTCAGGTGCTGAGGAATCTGCTGAAGCTGGGTCAGGAGCTGGAGCTGAGCCACACCTCCCCACAGAGGTGGAGGCGGGGCCTTCGGAAGACCCCAGTGGCCCCTATGAGAGAAGAAAGAGTCCGCTCAAGGACTCCTTCCCTGAGGACAACAGCTCCATGGATGAGCCTGGGGACAATGTTATCTTCAATGTGAACTTAAACTCTGTGTTTCTGAGAGTTCTCCACGATGAAGACGCCTCAGAGACAATCTATCTCACAGAAGACACAGGCCTCCTAGATGAGGGTCCCCACAGGACAGAATCAGACCTTCAGATAGCTGGTGGGGACAGGACACAGCTGCCCCACCCCAGCCTCTCTTCCCAGGGTCTATGGACTGAAGACGGGTCATCTGAAAAGACAGACACTTCAGATTCTGATGCTGATGCAGGGGATGGCTATATCATGAGATGACTCCAAAGTGGTTCGTTGACTGGAGCTGGGCACCTACAGGGTTCTCTTACAGCCTGACGTGATGCCTTGTGGTCTCCAGGTGTCTGTGAAGGAGGGACTAGAGAACTCTACAGCCCTCATGGTCCTTGCTGGATGGCCTTCTCTATGCAGATTGCCAATTTGGGCACCAGGATTGTTTACATGGGTCATGAGCGTGACCCGCCCACCCTCTTTCCACTAATGCACTAAGGTGGTTTGTGTTACATTTCCCAAGGAACAGTGTTCAGTGTGGTTTTCAGAGGCAGCCAAGGCCTCCCATCCCTGTGTTGTTTCTAGGAAATGATTAAATTGGGGGAGAGAAAGAGAAAAGAAAAACTGGTCAAGCAGTGTTCATCAGGACTCCAGGAATGAACCTGAAAGGGGGCAGAAGGGCCAGAGGTAGGGCAGGCTGAGCTGGCTGCTGGCAGGGAGAAAGAAGTTATCTGCACAAGGAAAGCCAGCAAGGCCTGAGCCCCCACTGTCTGGGCTCTTTCCAGATGTAAAGATCTGTCTTCTCTACTCTGGGAAGTTCCTTCACAGTCACCCATTAAAAACCCTCACAGGTTTAGTGAGGAGGGGGAGAAGCCATGTGAATAATTCTAGGTAGGACCCGACAAGTGACTCAGAGAGGAATCTCATGGCCATATTTTCTTTCTGCTTCACCTCTTTAACCTCCAGCTTCTCAATTTATGAAGTAAAGGGACTGAACACATAATCTCCATCATCAAGACTCAAGGGGAAGTGCCGAGCCTTGGGGGAGATGCCCAGGGTGGATGAAGGGTGTAGGATCCTCCCATCTTTACTCTTCTCACCCCAAAATCAGTGTCTCACATTTTTTTCTATTCGAAGAGGAATTAGTACATGGGTCCTGGCTCAAAGGCTTCCAAAGGATTAGCCACGTAGCCCCTGTAAAGCAATTCAAAAGAAACCTTTGTCGAACTGACATAAGAAAAATCCCACAGGAAGGAGACCCTATACACAGCAACTGTTTCTCTGCCCTACGAACAAAGCCACCCTCATTCTCCGGTAGCAACGCTTTCTTTTAAGGTTTGCATAATTGCTGGGAGTTGGTTTTTTAGTGCTTGCACTTAGTTGTTGTTTTGTTGGTTGGTTGTTTTTATTTTTTAATTTTATACGATGTTTGAAATTGTCACAGAGTAATACAAAAGTACTTTTCATATAAGCTTCTAGTCTTTTTGGGTCGTTTCTCTCTAGAATGCTTCCTACAGCGTATGTGTGGTTCTGCTGCTGTTTCAAGATTAAACTACTAGCTTTCTCTAACTCTGCCGTGGCCTGCCGGGATGGTCCCCTCCGACTCACGTGACTTGTTCTGACTTAGACGTGTCTCAGTATGTAGTCACCCGACCTACTGTGGGGTTTCCCACCTCACCACCTGGTCTCTCTAAGAAGAGGAAACTAAATAAACCTTTCTCAGCAACCTTATGCAAGAAGCAAGCTACCAAGAAATGAACAAACTGGCCTTGTGCCATCTCCTTCGGGTGGGGAGGGGCACTAAAACTTCCCAAGCTCAGCTGGATTCAGCTTTTGTTTGGGAGAGGATACTTTGGAGAAGTGATGCTTCCCTGGGGGAAAACAGGGAACACTGAGTGATCCAAAGAAAAACAACTGCCTAGCAGCTGGGAAGCTGAGGCAGGAGGATCGCTTCGAATTCCGGGCTAGTCTCGGCTACGTAGAAAGACAGTGTCTCAGCACCGGCCCACCAAGGAAGAGAGACAGAAGGGAACACTGGAGGGGAGAGAAACGGAAGGGGGAATTGGGGGAGGAACGATACTGTAACCCAGGATGGTTTCTTAATGCACTTAGCTTGAGGCCGCCCTGCCCTCGGAGCCTCGGTCCCCGGCGGGATTGCGGGAGGAGGGAGCCGGAGGGGAGTGGCCTGGCCGCCCGGCGGAGGTTCCGGGAAGGGCGCCGGCGGCCGCGGGGCTGCCGCACGGGGCCATGGCCTGGGCGCCGAGCGTGGCGGGCTGGCTGGGCGGCTTCCTCCTGGTGCCAGGTGAGGTCGGCGGGCAGGGGCCCCGGGCGGGCAAGCTCGTAGGCTTGGGAACTCGGAGGCGAGGCGTCCCCAAGTCTCGGCCCATGGGCGCCCCGAAAGGGACCGTGTGCGGTGCCCAGCACTGGGAAGGAAACCCCTCGCTATGGTCGGGTGCAAGCACACCCGCGGCGATGCGCTGCCACTGGCTAGATCACGGGTGGACCACCACCATCCCCAGCCCGCAGCGGGTTCCAGGCTGTCTAGACGGTAAACTAAAGCGGGATGCGGGAACAGTTGTTGACAGCGTCCCCCCATCCCGAAGTTCTAACTGAAAACAGATTTTCTTAGCACCCCACGGTGACCGTCTGGACTTTAGGGACACACACCGGAGTCCTCCCCAGCCGCAGTCCTTCTTCCTCTCCCCGGTCCTCTGCTACACCAGCTCCCCTTCACCACACCTTCCTCTTCACAAGTCCACACCCTGAAATCTGAATTCTTCCCCTCAGCTCCCCAGAGAGCTTCTGAGGACTCTTCGCAGCGTGGCTTTCCGTTGGCTGCGCTCTCGGGACTCCCCGACTAGTTCTCCTGTTCCTGAGCCCGAACTTCCCAGGAGCCTGGTGTTGAATAATTATTAGTGCCATACTTCGTCTCTGTTGACAGCAGTTGGGTGATAAGTGGTTTAGAGTTTCCTATGTCAAAACTTAACAAGTAATTTCTGCCCTAAGCCAAAAGCTGCCCTCTCTGCGACCTCAGGCTCACTCACCCAAAGGTCTCCGTGACAGTTTGTCCTGGGTCCCCATGGAGGATTGTCTGCTGCTGACTCAAAATTCCCAGGTTCCCTGCCTCAGCTCCAACCAGGGTTCCAGGGGCTTCAGTCAGAAATTCTTCTCATTATTGCTTCAAATAAAACCTAGTCTCCACAACATAGCTAATATACACACACACACACACCCCATTTGAAGACAGGAGTCCCAAATATTAAATATGGTTATTTTCTTGGGGGGTTTTGTTTGTTTGTTTGTTTGTTTGTTTTTGTTTCATTTTGGTTTGGATTTTGTTTTTGTTTTGTTTTTGCTTTGCTTTGTTTTTGAAAAACATTGCTATCTCACCCCCTCCTCTTTATCTTTTTCAGTTCTAGGAATGATTCCTCCTCCTAAGAATGTCAGAATGAATTCAGTTAATTTCAAGAACATTCTACAGTGGGAGGTACCTGCTTTCCCCCAAAAGAACCTGACTTTCACAGCTCAATATGAAAGGTAGGTCTGGTGGCTGTTTGCAAGACAGTGCCAGAGAATGGTGAGCCTGGCCTGGCTCTCTGGAGGGAGGGAGTCTGACTACTGCCACCTGTGTGGCTGTGACAGTCCAGGGCCTTCCTGTTACCCCCTTCCTGTCTCTGAAGAGAGTTACTGTAGTCAAGAGTCTAGGCCCGTCCTTCTAATTCCAGGTCTTGAGCTGCCTATTGTGCTACCCAGGGATAGTAGCACAGAAGTCACTATGTAGCCCAGGCTGGCCACAAACTGATGTATTTGAAGAGGAAGTCAGGTGCTGGTGACATTCCTGGTTATATAGCTAACATAGTAAAAGTCAGCAGTGTGCAAATGGGGGTGGGGGGCGTCTGAAAAATGCCAGGTGTGCACAACAGTCAGGAAGGTACTTGCTTCAACCCACCTACCCTCCACTGAAGGCCTTCTAGAATATTCTGGGATCTGCCACCACCACTGCAGGGCCTCTATTTGTCCTGCCCTGCTGTCTGCAAATCCCCATATCCGGTGAAGACTATAAGCCAGCCTTCCCTTGACAGCCTGTCTAAATTGCCCATAGGCTGGATGCCAGGTAACACATCAGTAGCAGGAAGCCCAAGGCCCATGAACCAGCACACTTGGCCTCTCCGTGACTCAGAAATGTAGGCTGACAGACAGGCCACAGAGAACATGCCCTTCCAGATCTCGGTAGCCCCGCCCTATTTGCCGCAGCTGTCATTTTACACGGATACTGAAGGGCCACCAAGTTCAAGAAGGAGCAGAAAGACTAAAGTCGCTCTTGCCTGCGTGCTGGGTTTTCCATTTTTTCTTAGTTTGAAATAATTTCATACAAGCCGAACATTTCAAGATTTTAAGTATATATTATGTATATAATTTAAGTACATATTATATACATAATATATACTATATTGTATAGTATATACTATATGTACCATATTATATACCATAATAAATACTATATTATATAATATAATAATAATATAAGTGTGTGTGTGTATGTGTGTGTAGGCTCGAGCACCTACATTGAGATTTACCAATTTTTAGCATTTACTATTGTTTTTCTTCCCTGAACTCTCTGACTTAGAAACTTAGCATTAATTTCTTTTCTCTTTGCTGTGACAAAATATCTGATGAAAGGCAAGTGAGGAAGGAGAGGGGTTTTGTTTGTATGTATGTTTGGTTGGTTGGTTGGTTGGTTTTTTGGGGTGGGGGTTGGCTTGGTAAGAGGCTACAGTTCAGCGCTGTGGCAGAAGCACCAGGCAGCTGGTCACACACAGGGCATCCAGTCAGGAAACAGACAAAAAGCTGGCTTTCAGCTCGCTTCCTCCTTTTTATTCAGTCTGAGACCCCAGTTCATCAGAAATTGCTGCGCATATCCAGGCATCCAGGATATAATAAACCTTCTTGCTCCATTAAACCTTCTTGGAAACTCTCATAGACCTACTCAAGCCGTTTCCATGGTGATTTTAAGTTTCATCAGGTTGACAATGAAAATTCAGCATCATGCACACATACATTCTGGTGTGTGTTTTGTGAAAACACTGGTCCTGTTGTACCTTGGTATAGTTACCTACAGTCCAGAGACCAGCGACTGATAAAAGGCCATTCTGCAGCAACCCTAGTGTGGTGGTGTCATCATTTCATCTCTGTGTTTTCTCCACTTGGATCTGGAAAGACATAGCAATTTCTCTGTGGAAATTAACTTCCTTCCTGTATCAGTCAGGATTGTTGCTGCTGTTACAAAATACCTGAGGCTAGTGGCAGGTATCTAGGTCTAGATGGCAGAATCACAAAACCGTGCAGGGAAGGTGTCACAGGTGAGTGACAGGACACTCTAGCAGGAGTCTCTGGCTGGCTTTTCTGCCATCATCATAGGGGGTGGGTGATTCCAGCTGTTTGTCCTTGAGATGGAAAGGCCTGGTGGCTTCATGAAGGCAAAGAACTGGAGGTGGTTATTAACTAAAGGTTAGTACTTTGCCTCTAGTGTTTCTCTCCTTGGAACCACAGATGGGTACACAGTACATAAATAATACGCAGCCATGTCCTTAGGAAAGACACTGGGCCTGTGAACAGTTGGGTTGTTATGTGACTAATATGACTCCATAAAGTTTACTTTGAATTCAACCCTGGCAGGTGAATCCTGCTTACACTGTGCAATAAACTGTCTGCTAGATGAGAACCTTACCTTTGTCCCCTGTCACTTGGGCAACAGAAGGAGGCTGCCATCCAGAGGTCAGGTTGTCTAGAATAAGGCACTTCAAAGGGTGTGTCGGTGTATTCACACAGAAACATCCAAAATGTAAGTGTGAGAGATACTCATATCACATACTTACCAGAAAAAAATAATACTCATCTATGACAAAAAAGAAAAAAGGAGTTATGACAAGATGACCTTTGACATGCAGTGTGTGTTGACCACCCGGGGTGCTAACTGAATACACTGCTTGCATAAGAGAAGAACCCCTTAATGAAGTCAACTCTACAATAGCTGAACATTAGATGGCCAGCCAGAAGAGCTATTCAGGTTGGCAAAACGTAAAACAAGTTTTACCTCCGGACCACTTAATTCCAGCAATAACAACTCAGAGACTAATTATTGATTAATAAATGCTTAGGCCGTAAGTTTTAGCTTGTTCTCCATCTAGCTGTTAACTTCGTATCCCTTTTATTCCAAGTTCAGCTGTGTGGCTGGTTGCTCCTCTTCAGCCTTCTGGGGCAAACCTTCCACAGTCCTCACTATTTCCCATAACTCTCTCTGTCCCTGCCAGATATCATGTCTCCAACTTCCTGCCTCAGCTCATTGGCCATAAGCTTGTTTATTGACAGGCAATGCTTATAAGAGACATTCTCTACAGCAAAATGTTCCTGTGTGTTAAGTAGGAAAGGCAGGTTGCAGAACACTGATCTCAGCAGTCCTTACCTTCTTTTTTACATCAGTAACAACGGAGTGAGCCACGGATGTGGTCCCTAGAGCCCTAAAGTCAACAGAACTGAGTGTAGTGAGGGCACTTGCTGCTTTTGCAGAGGACTCAAGTTCGGTTTCCAGTACCTCTGTGGGGTAGCAGCTCCCAGGCACCTATGACTCCAGCTCCAGAGGATTCAACGTCCTTTTCTGGCCTCCAATGGCATATGCACTCATGTGTGTACACACACACACACACACACACACACACACACACAAATAAAAATAAAGTAAACTTTCTTTAAAAGGGCAAAGGTGATCCAGACTTTCGCACACAAGGGTTTGTTGCTCGCTTTTAGCCACAGACATAAAATAACCACTTGCTTCAGGCTCCCGATGTCCTCCCCTGCCCCTCCATGATGCACTGCAATCTGGACCTGTGAACTAGAATAAACAATCTGCCTCGAATTGACTTTGCCAGAATGTTTTATCATAGCAACAGGGGGTGAAAAAAAATCCAAGACAGGCAACAAGGGTGGCCCCAATTGGCTTTCACACCTAGACAGGATGGAGTGGTGGGAACCTGTCAGACAGCTCCTTACTTACAGGAAGGGAGCTCCTGTTTTCTTAGGCTAGGGGCAGCTAATTACACCTCCTCAGGCTGCTGTGGGCCGAGTTAGGAATTCCCGTTGCCAAGACTCCTGCCATGCGTGCTGCTGCTATCATTCTGAAGGTGAATGAATTGTTTCAGTATTTTTCCAGAATCTTTGCAACGTGAGTCACTCTTGGGACATGATTCGAAATCATCTTATTATTTCCTAGTTAATCTGTGTGTGCCAGCCATAGCCCAGTCATAGCCCAGGGCTTTCAGAAATGTGCAATCCAGGAAGGAAGCTTTCTCAGTCAGATGTGTTTAATATGCAACCCTGGGTTTGGAGCCATGAAGGCTTATTGGGATATTAAAGTCTCTGCTGCTAAGATACCAATTTTTGTTTAACTCAATTTTTTCACAGATTACTTGGCTATAGGATGGATTGTCTTTTAGATGCCTTGTGACTGATTCCCCAGGGATCATTAAGATCTCAGGAAACACATAGTTTGGAAAAATATTAATTTCCTTGTGCATTCTATTTATCTGAATTAGTGATTACTGGGCGCAGTGGTACACACTTGAAACCCCAACACTGGGGATTTTAAATTAGCAGGGGGATTTTTAAATCAGAAGCCAACCTGAGCAACAGAAGGAGACTCTTTAAAACATGAAATAAAAACAAAGAAGGAGAAGGATGAGAAGTTTTTCTTTTGCCTTCGCCATCATGGGGAATAAAGCAGCCATCTTCCCAGAGACAGAAACCTCACTGCCTTTGTCTTTCTGATTGTGTAGTTACCGGTATTTCCAAGATCGCTGCAAGAACACTGCCTCTACTCAGTGCGACTTCTCACTTCTTTCTAAATATGGAGACCACACCGTGAGGGTCAGGGCTGAGTTTGCAGATGAATATTCGGAGTGGGTAAACATCACCTTCTGCCCCGTGGATGACAGTAAGCCATTTATTTTCCATTTTGTTATATCTCGACATCTTACCTTGCTTCTATCCTCATTGGTGACCCATCAGTAAGAATTCCTAGAAGGCCTACAGATGAACAGTCTATGCCACGAAGCTCAGGATAGAGCAAAGAAGCTGTGGCTGTAAATTCGTGGATGGAGCAGGGGTCGGGGGTCAGGGGTTGGAGGGGATGTACATGTCCTAGCAAAATAGATGAATGTCAATTTTGTGACTTCACTACTCACAGATACGATGAGTTAGAGCTAGTGCTGTTAATGAGGAAATTGAAAGCTCTGACAGTTCTCTGAAAGGAAGTCAGTGTGAGATTATGAATTAAACCAAGAGATAGGGGCCTGGAAAATAGCTCGGTGGATAAGAGAACTGGCTGCTCTTCCAGAGGATTTGGGTTCAATTCCCAGCACCCACAAGTCTGCTCACAACAGTGTATGATTCCAGTCCCATGGGATTTGACACCAGTTCTGGCCTTTTTGGGCACCTGGTCCACAGAGCATACATACAGGCAAAGTACCATGCATATAAACTAAAAATAAAATGCAAAGTAAATTTCAAAATGTGACAGAAGAAGAGAGAGGTAGATGTGGAGAGAGAAAGGTCCAGTGCAGAGAGACCACTGTCCTGGAGAAGGGGAAGAAAGGAGTTCACCTATGGTAGACTCTGCTGAGGCTGGCATAAGCTTTGGAAAGAGGATGCCCTGATTAGAAGGTCTAGGGGACCCAGAGGCCCTGAGACAAACATGTTTAAAGTATCCGGAACTGAAAACTAGTTAAGTCACCATACAGCAACTGGGAGAATTAGCGGTTACAAAAATGTCAGGAACAAAGCTCACATAAGACCCTCCCAGGGGCATCAGAGGGAAGATCCAGGTCTGGGGGCCAGGGCTTATACAGGTCCTTCCACGGTGGGTGCTCACTCAGACAGAATGAGGCCGAAATCCCTTGTTCTCTTTCCAGTTTTGTCTTAGGACAAGCACAAAACTCATACTTTTGCACTTGGAAATGGTCAGTTAGTTTTCTTTTAAAAATGTTGCTTTCTAAAAGCAAGGGAAGGAAATGACCATTGCGAAAAGATAGCTCATTGGTTGTCAGGCTCCAAAACTAAACCGGTCTTCAGTGGTTATGAGGGGTTCCTGTAAACTCATCATAAGCAGAAGATATCATAAATCATGTGTGCATTTGACACGCCTAGCCTGCCACACCCTCCTGATCCCTGACTGATGAGGAGGTGACAGATCACAGTCATCTCCCTAAACTGAAAAAGAAATCAAACCATGTGTCCTTAGCTTGAGGGAATACCACAATTCAAAGGTCAAAGTACAGTTTCTGTTTCATGCCAGTCTCTTTCACACAGCCATTGTTAAGTTGGGGACCATTTGATGTAGAGGTTTCCACTCCAGTAATTTCTTGCTGTGCCTGGGTAGTTCTAAGTCTTACGTTATGTCCCATTGAGGCCAGTTCTCTGTAGACTCAGATCAAGGAGCGTGACTCAAGGTCACACGTGTAAAAGTGAGAGAACTGGGGCGCTGATACAGGCCTCTGGGGCTTAACAAGAGGCCCTTCGGTAGTAACAACAGTCAGAGAGGAGAGCACAAGCCAAGCTTTCTCAGAGTCTTTTGTTATTCCTTCTGTGGTTATTTTTGAGCACCTACTGTGTGCTGGGCATGTTCTTACCACTAAACCTACAACATCAAACAAGAGCAAAGCCTTGCATTTGTGGAGTGTTCTAGACTCATAGGAAGACTGACAGTAACCCAAGAGACAGATACTTTATGGTACAGAGAGACTGTGGCTCTCAAAATGGAAAGTCAACAGAAGAGAGGAATACACCCTTGTCCAGAGAGCCACAATATACAGGCTCCCCAGGGTGACGTTTTAAATGGGTGGAGATCTAAATGGGGTGAAGAGCCTAGCTACATAACTAAAAGAAAAGTTTTGTTTATATATATATATATATATATATATATATATATATATGAGACAAATATTTACGAGTAATCTCTACAGACACAAAAATATCATTTGTAGCTTTAAGGCTAGAAAATGAAAGAGAATCCAAGCCAGTAGAAGGCAGAAAAAAAAAAGAGAAAGAGAAGAATCTAATAAAATAAAAAATATAAAAACAGATTTTTGTGTGTATGTGTCAAGCATGGTGTCATGCCTTTGTGTCATGACTGTGACAACAGTATTGTCAAGACTTAGGCAGGAAGATCACAAGTTTGAGGCTAACCTGGGCAATGTACTGGGGTGACCCCTCCCTAAAAAGCCATTTTTACAAGCAATACAAAACAATATAGTTAAAATAATCCTAAATATATTTGATATCACTGTGAATATAAATGGGTTTAATTTGATTAACAAAGACAAACAATTTTGGATCTTTTGAAACAGGAAAAAATTACTGAGGCACTGTTGTAAATGGTATATCAAGAACAGTGTTATCCTTCAGTAGATTGTTGAACATATATATGAAGTATGTATGTTCACTTGTGTTCAAGTGAAGTGTTTAAAATGTGATTTTTGATTGTCATCTTTGTGTGTTCTTATACTTAGCCATTATTGGACCTCCTGAGATGCAGATAGAATCCCTTGCTGATTCTTTACACATGCGTTTCTCAGCCCCACAAATTGAGAATGAGCCTGAGACATGGACCATGAAGAATATTTTTAACTCATGGGCTTACAAGATACAATACTGGAAAAATGGAACTAATGAGAAGGTAAGGCTGACTCTCATGTGTGTTTCAGATGTGGGTACCATGTTCTTCGCTCGGGTTGGTAGGCCATGATAAGAAAGAGGTTGCAGGTAAGGGCTCAGTGGGTAAAGTGTCCACTGTGCAAACGTGAGGGACAGAGTTTGGATTCCCCAACACCCAAGCTAAAAGCCAGTGATGCCCCACCGTAGTCACAGTGCTGAGAGGTGGGGACAAGAGAATCCTGGGATTCACTGGTCTGCTGGTTAGTCCATTGGGGAGATCCAGATTCAGGGAGAGACTCTGTTTCAAAAACAAAATGGGCAATGACAGAGAAAGACACTGATGCCAACCTCTGGCTTGCACACATACACATATTGGTGTGTGTGCAATCCATGCATGCATACATACACATATTGGTGTATGCACCTATCCATGCATGCACACATACACATATTGGTATGTCCACACATGCATGCATGCATACATACACATATTGATATGTGCACACATCCGTGCATGCATGCATACACATATTGATGTGTGTACACACTCATATATGCATACATACACATATTAATGTAGGCATACATCCAAGCATGCATACATATACATATTGGTGTGCACACATCTATGCATGTACACAGACATAACCAGGCAGAGTCCTGTAAAGTGGCAGCACTTTTCCAGGGAGTCTAAAGCCTGCTCCTCTACAAGCCCAAAGCTCTGGAAAAGACATGGAGCAGACTCTTAGGACGAAGTCCACACAACAGACTTCCCTCTCCTTGAAAGGAAGTCGCAGGAGAAATGACATTGTCAGCACTTGGCTAGGGGAAGTTGAAGTCAGCTGCCATGTGACCAACTGAATGACCAGTTTCCCACCCCATAGCCCTCGCATAGCACAAGCCAGTCACATCGTGGCTGTAGCCCCTCCCACCTCCCTAGATGTTTAAGGACAGTGTTTGGTTTTTGTTTTTGTTTTGTTAACCCTACCTATCCAATTTTCCCGTCACTCTCTCCTTTAGGGAGCAATTACTTTAAAAAAGTTTTTATTACACTTACTTCTTCATGCTGAGGGGCGTGCCACAGTCCTTGAGATCTAGTCACCAGGCCTTTACAAACCTGAGTCATGTCATCAGCTAACCGTACAATTCTTTTGAAATCAAAACTTAATGCCAAAACGTCTGGCTGGACTATTGCCTCTGTCACAACATTGCTCTGGTCACATCGATGACCTCAGCTTCCTTAGGGCCACAGAACAGGCACAAGAACCCACTTCATTCAAGAAACAGGAAGAACAACCCGGTTCACTGAACTGCTGTGGCATTTACTGACAAAAGCCAAACTTTTCTCATCTTCTGGAACAATACGAAGCTCTCTTCTCTTTATGTAGATAGATTTGTTTATTTTTGGTCAAACTTAGTGTTGCTGAGCTGAATACCTAAACTGGCATCTATGCTGATAAATTATTTACATTTTATGTTTATCAGTTCCTTCCCAAGAGTCCAAGAGGCTGGTCACTTGTGTTTATTGTCTTAGGATGATATATCAAGTTAATTTTTTCACCCCCAGAAAAACCTTCACTGAATGGAGCTATGTGTAGTCTCTTCCTGTAACAGAATGGGTAATTTATGAATGATATTCTAGAGGCAGAGGAGTCCGAGGTCAAGGCACAGTAGCAGGTCCAGTGTCCCATGAAGGCTAGCCCGTTTCACTCCTAGGGTAATGGCTAATGTTTCATCCTTTGATAGCCAAGGTGAAGGACAAAGGGATGAACACCACTTTGGTGCCTTTTTTGGAAGATCATTAGTTTTGTTCATGAGGGCTCTTGCCAATTGCCTCCTGAAGACCCCATCTGAAGCGTTTCTTAAAGATTTTTTTCACTAATGTATGCACAGAAATTCGTGTGTATGCATGTGTATGCACATGCATACGCACACATGTAGAGGTCAAAGGACTGTTGGTAGGATTTGTTCTCCTTACAACAGCCTGGTCTTCCCCTTTACTATTTCCACATTGGTGTATAGATTTTATCATCAGACACACCAGAGCATGTAGGACATCTGCTCTTGCCAGAGGTGGCTTTGCTCACAGTCAAGACTCCAGGAAGAACATACCTGAGAGGCAATACAAAATATCCAGTTTCAGACTCACGTATCAGTGCAGTAGCTCTACCCTGGAACTCAAGGACAAGACCCGTTCACTACACCCCAGGGATTATGGGCATCTTCTAATTAAGGATCCAGTTTTATAGTCACCGTGGCTGAGTGCCTCGCTCACCAAGAGTGATATGAAAAACCCCCGTTATATTTAGCTCCTTATCTAGAATACACCCACAGCCCTGGCATTTGGTTACATGTTGGTCCTTGAGCTTCACATGCTGTGCGAATGCCAGAAAGTCCACTGGCTCCCTCCTTTGTGCCCCACACCATTGTATAACACTACCTTCTAAAGTGCCAATGTCCCTCAAAGGCTGTCAGATCAGTTCCCCAAACTGATAGCACACAGGGCTTTGGGGAATTCCATTGTCTTGGTGGGAAAGAGAGCATGAAACTAGATCAGCCCAGAAATAAAGGGACAAGAGAGAGGAAGCCCCCAGGAGACTTGAGAGGGACCTCACCTCGCCTACCCATGTTGTTCTTCAAAATCACGTTACAAGGTTTTAGAGGCATTGACTAATAGAAGTAAAACTTAGAATTTGATGTTTGTTTGTTTGTTCTTTGTCTTTCATTGTTGGTGGTGCTTTGTTTATCTGGGGGAGTTATATCCGTCTCTTCCTAGGTTCAATAGGTATAATGCAGTTCTTGCCATCGATACTGACAGGCTGTCAACAGCTCCACCCCCACAAGGGGCCAATTATGAAAAAGAAAGGAGAATTCAGGCTCCCTTAGTATGCTCTTTTATTTCCCCTTTATTTTGCTGAGGAACTGTTTTGGTCACTCCAACTCAGAAGCTTATCATTAGCTACGATGTCCTTGTGTTTGAATTAGTCAAAGCATTAGTCAAGGACTCCAGCCACCACGAAGGAATGCAGGGGTATCCTGAAGAGACCAAAGCCTGGGAGTCAGAGCCCACCTAGACACATACACAGGGAACCCCAAACATCAAGGATCACAAACATGCTACGGACCTGGGGGGCAGGGTAGGAAGCGCACTGAGCCTCACCATACATGGCTCCTGTTACTCGCTAAGATTCCTATAACAAGAATTACAAACTAGGTAGCTTCAACACAGAAATGTACTGCCTAACATTTCTGGAGCCTGAGAGTTCAAGATCAACTTGTCTTCGAGGCTGCGCTCCTGAAGATGTGGATTCACTCCGTACCTTTCCCCCAACTCTTTTTTTTTTAAGCATATTTTTTTAAAGATTTATTTATTGTATATATGTGAGTACACTGTTGCTGTCTTCAGACACACCAGAAAAGGGCATCGGATCCCATTACAGATGGCTGTGAGCCACCATGTGGTGGCTGGGAAGTGAACTCAGGACCTCTGGAAGAGCAGTCAGTGCTCTTAACCACTGAGCCATCTCACCAGCCCAACTCTTGAAAGCTCGTTGGCAATCATTTGGCTTCCTTTGGCTTCAAAGAGTGCCTTCAGATATTGGCCATTTTCTATATATGGCTTTCTCCCTGGGGCATGCTTACCTGTAAGTCCAAATTTTTATTCTTTTAAAAAATATTATCTTAAAAAAAAGAGCTGGGCAGTGGTGGAACATGCCTTTAAACCCAGCACTTGGGAGGCAGAGGCAGGCGGATTTCTGAGTTGGAGGCCAGCCTGGTCTACAGAGTGAGTTTCAGGACAGCCAGGACTGCACAGAGAAACCCTGTCTCAAAAAAAATAATTATCTTTAAAGGTTTCCTCCTCCCCCCCCTCTCTCTCTGTGTGTGTGTGTGTGTGTGTGTGTGTGTGTGTGTGTGTGTGTGTGTGTGTTGGTATTAAAGGTATGTAGCAATAAATTTAAATTTTAAAAGAGTCTACCTCCAAATAAGGTCCCAGTTCCAGGTACAAATATATGAAATTTTGTGGGATGCAGTTCAACCCATTAGAAGTGATTTTTTTTAACTGGATATATTATTAGTTAATGAACAACACTGTGGAAACCCCTATGACGGCATGGCCCACTGCTTGTCCAGGGGACCACAGTTAACCCTCAGCCATCTGGATGAGCCACGTCTTGCCTGTCATGTCTTCAATTTATCTGCATCCAACTTGGCAAAGACCCTCCTTTTGAACTTGCTTCTACTAAGAGTCTTGGCCGCATGTGCCTTCTGTAGCATCTGTGGTGGCCTGACTAGTGTGAATCCTAGCCAGTGTGAATCCTGGCCAGTGTGAATCCTGGCCAGTGTGCCCTGCTGCATCCCAAAGGTACCTCACATGCCTGTCTGACAGCAAGGATATGGATATCTACTAGGAAATTCTGCTCCAAGTTTCCTTAGAACAATCTATACAGGTGGCAGGTTTCACCTATCCCCAAAGAGAATGCTGGTTGTAGGCATGGCACCCTGAGCCCCATGAGGAAAAGAACCTGGTGGCCTTAACTGGATATAATATTTTTTAAGAGAAGTGTGATGCTTTAGATGACACACATGCTACAGAATTGAGGCCGTGCGATGGTTTGCCTGCCTCACCGTTGGTCTTGTCCCATTCCTTATAACATGTGTTCAGAAGCCGGAAGGAGTTCCAGCCAATGAGTGAGCAGCTCTTTCTGACATGTCTGAAGCAGTTTATAACACATGGGAAAGGAAAATAAAGAAAAATGTCCTTCACTGCTATGTCTGTCTGCCTTACAGCTTCAAGTCACTTCTCAGTATGACTCAGAGGTTCTCAGAGATCTGGAGCCGTGGACAACCTACTGCATTCAAGTTCAAGGGTTTCTTCTCCATCAGAACAGAGCAGGAGAGTGGAGTGAACCCGTCTGTGAACGGACAACCAGTGATGGTGAGTAGGGATGGGGACAGCCTGTAACTGCCCCCTCAGAGCTCCATGAACCTCACCCATGGGTCTTAGACACCATGGCAGTCAGCTCAGACTGCACCACAGGTTAGAGATCAGCCTCCCCTTGTCTGCATGGTCTCCAGACCCTGAGTGTCCGTCTGCTTCATGCTCCAATCAAAGTGCCCCAAGCTGAGGATGTACACTCTCTCTCCAGTCCAGTGGGCTACGGTATGCCTCCCTGAATCCACCTTCACTATGCTCTGTTGCCCTTCCAGATCTCTGAAGTAGGTTAACTGGTTCTCACACAGACGCCCTGCAGAGACTGAGCCCTGGGACATCTTGATTTTCCTTCCCTGCATCTCTAGTTTTGGGGACACATAATGACTGGGAAGGGGAGATTGGGAAACATCAGTGACCTCAGCTGGTACCATTACGTATTGAGACTCCTTGTAAAACATGGGTCCAGTCTACCAAGGGGTTCTCCACACTGAGTGCTAACAGAACAGTAGTGCAGGGTGTGGTTCAGTGATAAAGGTCTTATCTAGCATGTGCAGCCCTGGACACACTCATGCACACACGCACACACACACACACAGTTAGAGAGAGAGAGAGAGAGAGAGAGAGAGAGAGAGAGAGAGAGAGAGAGAGAGAGCCTGGTATGGTGACTCAGGCTGGTGTGATGGCTCAGGCCTGGTGTGGTGGCTCAGGCCTGGTGTGGGGGCTCAAGCCTGTAATTTTAACACTTACAAAGCTAAGGCAGAAGAATCACTGCCTTAGAGAGACTGGTGGTACTGTGTAGTGAGTTGCTGGCCAACCTAGGTCACAGAAGAACACTCTGTCTCCTGACAAGATCTAAACATTTTTATTTAAAAAGAAAAGAAAAGAAAGAAAGAAAGAGAAAACCTGTTTGTCAAACTCCCATTTTGCAGGGTTTTTAAAAATCTCATCTAAGTACTATATATAGAATGTTTTCAGTGTGAACATTAGGGATCCAGAAGGAAGGCCCTAAGGTTCCATCGACTGCTCGAAGTTGCTTAGCTAGTGAAGGACAAGGACAGAACTGAGCACAGTCTAGTATAACCTCGAGTCGCATCTTTAACTCCCTGCCTACAGACTAATTCCAAATCCTTAAAATAAAACTAATCAAATAAAACGTGGTCTGCCAATAGTAGAGGCAAACAGATCTGCAGCCAGGGCAAGAGCATCAGGCTTGGTAAACTACTGTGCAGTTCACACTCTTTAGAAAGCAGTCTCTTGCCCTCACCCTCTCTACTCGTCCTGAGAAGAAACAAAAATGTCACCGTTAGCCAGGTGTCCTTACCCACAATACCAGCTGTTTTTGTCCCACTACCCAGACCTGAGAGATCCCAGCACCACTGGCTCACCCTACCACACTAGAGGATGGACAAGAGCCTGAAGCTTTCTCAGGAACTGAGATGACCTCATACTGTCAGATTCTTCCTAGTGTCCACACCAGCCAGCTCTCTGGGCCCTCCGTTTATCGGGAAAAATACAACAGCCTCTGCTAAGACAGAAAGAGGCAAAGGGCCGTGCAGTGTGAAACAAGATCCAGGGACTGGGTATAGTTCTTCCAATCTACAGAGGGGGAGGTGGGATGGTCAGGAGATTGGTGTGTGTGGAAATGCTAACACAAGGGAGGGAGGGAGAAAGGGAGGGAGAGAGGAAGGGAGAAAGGGAGGGAAGGAGGGCTAGAGGGAGGGATAGAGAGAGGGATGGACAGAGGGATGGACAGAGGGAGGGACGGAGGGAAGGGGATAGAGGGAGCAGGAAGGAAGGAGAGAGGTGGAAGATGAGAGACAGTTTCTTCCCAGCCTCTTATCCATACAAATGCTCCACCCATCCATCTACCCATCTATCCATCCATCTATCCATCCGTCTACCCATCCATCCATCCATTCATCAGTCTATCCATCCATCCATCAGTCTATTCATCCATCCATCCATCCATCAGTCTATCCATCCATTTATCTATCCACCCATCTGCTTATGGCCATGAACACAGTGGCCAGGCACTGTGAGACGTTTACTCAAATAGCAGCAGAGTCTATTGTCAGTAGAATTCGAGGACCAACACATTGGCCTGGGTTCTCTTTTCTGCTGTGTCTAAATGACAGCTGGTGTTCTTGGCACAAACAGTCCCTTTCAGATGACTCTGTCTTACCAGTCAGAGTTTTTTTTCTCTTGGCTCCACTAGGTATGGCCAGGTCAGCTAGAGAAGGGACTAGCCTAAATGTGGAAAGCTGGAACTATGGCTGACCAGAGTGACTTCTTGTACGTTCCCACACAAAACAAGCAGGACTGGTTAAAGCAGAAACTGGAGATTTTATCCAGTGCCTACTGACCACAGATGGAAAAAGCTGAACTCCACTTGTGCAGAGGAATGTCTGAGAGGGAGGAAGTGGAAAAGGAGGGAACCAGAGCAAGCAGAGGTGGCGGAGTCAAAAATGACCAAACTGAGTTTAATGTCATTACCATTCAATGCCGTTACCTAACCCTAACCCTGAACCCTGAACCCTGAACCCTGAACCCTAACCCTAACCCTAACCTCTGCGAACTGGCATTTATCAAAACATGCCAATCTCCTATCGAGACATTCTTCCTGTTGGCTTCACAACGTGGTTATCAGTCACTGAGGAAGACACTGCTGGGTCACAGTGCCATGAATATGTTCCAGATGGGAAGAGAAGGGCACAGGTAGGAAGGCCTTTCTAGAAAAGCTCACTGCAGGTAATCAGAGGTGTGTGGTCAAGTGTCAGCAGCAGCACATGCACTCTTTAGGCTCTGATCAGGAACTCCAGGAAGACTGGGTGGCCTCAGAGACAAGGAATCAGTGGTGGTCGCATAGGCCACTCGGCCCAAGGATCTGTGTGGGCTTCTTGGGGTAAAGCTGCTTCCACTTCTCAATACCAAACACGGTGCCTGTGTCTCCCTCGGCCCCTATCTACAGTGTCAAAGCATAATGCCCAGAGCAGGCCTCTACAAACAGGTAAAGCAGACCAGGATCTTGCTTATCATTCCCTTCATAGCAGAAAGCACACTGCCAAGAGGATCCAGGAAAGAGATGAAACTCATCAAAAACACCAAGACCCTCCGGCCAACGGCCATACGTCTGGGTCAGTGTGGCCATATGGGCCTGGTTTGAGGTATTGTGTTGGATCACAATGGGTGTGTGATCCTTGTGACTCAACCTGTGTGTGTACCAAGAGTCTAACCTTTCTCACTGTCCCCAGCAGAAACAACCCCTTCCTGGATTGTGGCTGTCATCCTCATAGTCTCCGTCTTGGTAGTCTTCCTCTTCCTCCTGGGCTGCTTTGCCATGCTGTGGTTCATTTATAAGAAGACCAAGTACACCTTCTGTTCTGGGACGTCTCTTCCACAGCACCTGAAGGAGGTAGGCAGGGTGGAAGGAGGAGAGACTTCTCTAAGGTCGAGGCTGTCCAGTGCCGGGCAACATATTCTCCAAAAGCATGATATGCTGGCCTGTGCCCAAATGCCAAGAAAGCAAAGGTTTGTTCCAGAACCCTCCACCTTGGACCTGGGTAGCACCTTCTTCACTGCCCAGAGCATCAAGTCCTTGGGTTCATGGACAATGGTTCTGGCAGGAAGAGAGGAAGCAGAATTACGTGTGGAGATGGGAGAGAACACTCCACACAGAGCACTCGCTGGTGGAGGGAGAATCAAGGGAGGGAGAGGTGCAGTGTGTTTTCAGTTTGGAAATGTCATGGTGATTGACATTCTGGGGTGTGTTTCATGGATGCCAGGGGTGCTGTTTTCTGAAAGTTTTGAGGGAAGGGGGAACGTGGATGACTGAAGACTAGTAATTTCTTATTTACACGCTAAGAGCCTGACCACACCCACAGGCAAAGCCCAGCCTGTGGAGGATTTGCTTACACAATAGGATCCCCCATGAACTGTGCCCTCCTGCCTATAAAGCAATTTGACCTTGCCCTCCTATATCTGGTCAAGGAGATGTGTCTCCTGATGTAAGCACGGTATGAACAGAGGCAGAAGGGATACAGTGGGATGAGAGAAACAGTTCCATCCCTGTGCACAGCTGACCTGAATCGTCTGACCTCCTGTAAGGACAGGACAGGCCTGGCAGCCCCCACAGTAATGTCACTCTGTGTAATAACATGAACTCTCTAAAGAAAAACTGTTTTATTCAAGATTGAGCAGGGAAATTTGCAAGTTCAAGGTATATGTCATAGTGAATGGGGGTTGGGGTGGGGGAGTGGTGGTTTTAAGTATACACAGGGAAGTGAGGGGAAACAGATATTTAAGGGTAAACCAAGGGAAAGGGACACCAGTTATTTTGATGCAATAATCTTTGGCTAAAAGATAAGCAGCAACCTTGATTCTGGTTCAATATTGAAAAGAGGAATCACAAGCGCTTGGGTAGATGTCCTTGCTCAGGTGCCTTGTGTGTGGTTGTGGTTCCGTTGGATGTCTCGCTATAGCAACCATCACAGGGCAGATTGTGCGTGAAGACCTCCCTTCGTGGCCTCTCGGTTCTGCTGTTTCGTTTTGACATAGGTGACTCAGTTTGGCGCTGGTGCTGTCCCTGGTGACCACCTTGGGGCTCTGTGTTCACCCAATCTCCCTCCATCAGAGACTCGGTCTTTGAAAGGTCCACTTAGGCTGCACTGAGCTGCTACGGATGGTCCAGCCTGAACTCACGGCTCTACTCTCTGCTTTGTGAGTGTCCTCACGTGACGTTCACCTAGTGTTTTTCCCAACACACATTTTACAGACCTGCAGGGTCACACGTGCATCAGGCTTCGTTAGCATGTAGTCATTGAGTCATCCACCAGTCTGAAGGTCTGGCTGCTCTACACACATCCTGCAGGGCTCGTTCTGCTCTGTGTTCTTCCTGTGTCAGCACCCTTTGCCTCTCCCACATGGTGCCCTATTCCCACAAGTGGAGTCTGATCTCCGAGCAGCCAGGAAGATCTGCCAAGCAGAGCACTTCTTTCTCAATGTGGGATGGGCATCATTCGCCTTCTCTGGTGTACCTTCTCCATGAGACTCCTCAAACTTGTCTGATGTACCAGGTCTCCAGCCCTTCCTAGAGAAGATTCCCCGACTCAGTGTGGCTTTATTTAATTTTATTTGTATTGTTTACTGGATATTTTATGTATTTACATTTCAAATGTTATTCCCCTTTCCTGGTTTTCCTTCTGGAATCCCCCTATCCCATCCCCACCCCACCCCTTGCTTCTATAAAGGTCCTCCCCACCCACTCCCATCTCACCGATCTGGCATTCCCCTACACTGGGGAATTGAGCTTTCACAGGACCAACGGCCTCTTCTCCCATTGATGCCTGGCAATGCCATCCTTTGCTGCATGGGTCCCTCCATGTGTACTCTTTGGTTGGTGGTTTAGTCCTTGGGACTCTGGGGAGTCTGGTTGGTTGATATTGTTGTTCTTCTTATGGGGTTGCAAACTCCTTCAGCTCCTTCATTCCTTTCTCTAACTCCTCCATTGGGGTCCCTGTGCTCAGTGCAATAATTGGCTGCGAGCATCTGTCTCTGTGTGGATTTAATGATGCAATGTACATTATTTCATGTACTGGGACAGCCTCAGTTCACACACCAACAGTTGAAGTGAATGCCTGTGGAGAAGGACACGGGTCTTATGCTATGAATGTTGCTCCCAGGGAGGAACCAAGCTATGAGCAGTTTCAGCTGCCAGAATTCCTAGAAGCTGGGGACACGATGGTCCATAGGTAGTCCAGGACAGCACCCACCACAGCTAGGAAGTGCGACACAGGACTGTAGAATTTCAGAGCAGAGAGAGTTTCCAGACAGCAGTGCAAGCAAGCTCTGCAGCACCAGGATGTGGAGAATCTCTAGGGATGAGCTGGTGTGAAGCTGGTCTGAGCAGGAACAAAGAGATACAGGCCCTAGACTCTGGGTGGAAGGTGTTTAGTTTCCCAAGAACCAGAAAGGAAAGTCTTCCCCTGGGGTTACTGCTGCTTCGGTTCCCCACCAAAGAAACTGGTCAGACAGGAAAGAAGAGACAGTGAAAACCAGGCAGGGGCAGGCAAGGGACCTATGGGACTGAGCCCCCACCTCAGAGGCCCTCAAGCCTCACAGTAGCTGTGGAGGCAGTGGGGTGTGGAGAAATGCTATCAGGTGAAGAGAAGGGATGCCACAGAGCAAACTAACATTCCCCACACCACCACATCCCAGTCCCACTCACAACACAGGGTACGTAACAACTTGGCACGTTCATGTTCAGGGAGTCTGAATTGCAGAATGGATAGAGCTGTCCAACATGGCACTGCTGAGTCAGCACCTGTTTCAGTGTTTCGGGATTTTTATGAAACACAGGACATCCAAAATAAGATAATTTCAGTATTCAACCAACGTGTTTTTAAGTTATTAAGATATTTTACATTTTTTCATGCAAAATCTTCAACATCTCATGTCTATTTTACACTTACAAGACACCTCCGTTCAAACCAGCCACGAGTTAAGTGGCTAGTAGCCACATGTGGCTTGTAGCTACTGTACCAGACATTACTAGGTTAAAGGTCAAAATGGAGTGCCACAGAGGATGCTGGTGAATTTGGCCCAAGAGAAATGAGAGATACTATGTGTCTGCCCATGACACATTTATCCATGGCCTGTGCACACACACACACACACACACACTCCCTACACACCCATTTCCTAGAGAAAATGGCAGCTGGGAGTGTGCCTCAGCCTCAGGATCAGGCCAAGAGGCCATCTTGTTTTTCAGGAAGAAGTATTAGAGAGTGACAGGTGAGCTTTCTGCAGAGAAGCTTGTCCCGCCCCTTTTAGTTGTGATAAAAAATGCAGGCAGCATGGCATCCACACCTTAGTCACATTTCAGAATGCAGCTAGCTCAGTGGCACAACATCCCCAGAGCCCGTTCCACTTGCATAGCAGAGACTCACCCTGCTAAACATTCCCTGCCACAGCTCTACAGCTACCTTTGTAAGGCTGCTCGTCCTAGGTCCCTCATAGTAATACAATCACACACACACACACACACACACACACACACACACACCTGCTATCTGCCTTTCTTTTTTTTTAAGATAGGGTCTCAAGTAGCCCAGGCTAGCCTCGAACTCACAGTATGGCCAGGGATGACTTTGAACTTCTGACCCTCCTGCTTCCACCTCTCAAGTGCTGGGATTATGGTGTGCACCAACACCATAATCAGCCCAGTTTTCTGCTGTGCTGGGGTAGTGCGAGCTATGCAGTCACTGTGCTAACTGGGTGATATCCCCAGATCCTTTTTTCTGATTGGTGACTAGCATATTTCACTTAGCATAATGTCTTCAATGCACTTCCATGTTGTAGAATGAGTAAGTTGTGTGTGTATGTGTGTGTGTGTGTCCATGCACGTGTGCATGTGATGTGTATGTGTGTGAGTGATAGTGTGCCCAATGCCACTGTATATATAAGGTGAGGGGCTAGAGGACAACGGTCAGGAGTTAGTCCTCTACCATGGAGTCAGGGATCACTCAGGTGATGTGTGCAAGAAACATCATTCCCTGCTGAGCCATTTGGTCCAATTTAGAAAAAGACAAAAAAAAAAAAAAGACTAATATCCAATATTCCAGTGAAGTGTCTGCACATTTGTGTGTCCATTCCTGGATGGCACTTGCTGTTTGTTCTGCTGTCTGGCGGCTGTTAGCTCTAGTAGACCCGACTTGTGAGCTTCTTCCACACCCTGCTTTCATTTCCCTTGGGAATATACCTACCTGTGAGCATAGTCTTTCCAGGACTTGCTAGGTCATGTGATAACTTTTTTCAAGGAGACGCCATAATGTTACTGTTGCATTTCAAAGTTGCAGTTTTGTATCCCTAAGGTTTTGCCTAAAATCCTTGTCAGCCCAGAAGAGGGAAGGAGAACGTGGAGGTGGGGGGCAGGGGAGAGGTTAGCACTCAAGTAAAGGTCTTTTCATTTTCCTGCAGTTTCTGGGCCACCCCCACCACAGCACTTTTCTGCTGTTCTCCTTCCCGCTCCCAGAGGAGACAGAAGTCTTCGACAAGCTAAGCATCATCACGGAAGAGTCTAAAGGCAGCAAGCAGAGTCCTGGAGACAGCTGTGCCTCAGAACCTCCGCCTGAGCCAGGACCTCAGGAGCTGGAGTCCAAGGATGAAACCCCCTCCCTTCCAGATGATGAGCCCGTACTGCTCACACCTACCTCAGAAGCGTGACCACAGGACCACTGGGGAAAACTCCAAACCTAGGACTTTCTGATGCAGGGCTGGTACACACAACCAAAGAGCTAGATTGTAAAGACTCCATTTGGGAATTTGCTGCTTTCTAAAGATTAATAATTTAGGGCCCAAGGATGCAGCTCAGTGACTAAAGCTCTTAGGATACATGAAGTCCTAGCTTCCATCCCCAACACCATATAAACCAGGGATGGGCGTGCCTGTCTATAAGCCCAACACTTAGGTGGTAGAAGCAGGAGGATCAAGGTCATCTTGAACTATACAGGGAGTACAGAGACCATGTCTGAGAGAGAGAGGGAGAGAGAGAGAGAGAGAGAGAGAGAGAGAGAGAGAGAGAGAGAGAGACTGAGACTTTAATAATTATTTTTTATGACCACTGAATGTAATTTGAGCCCTTTGTGCTCAGTAAAGCAAGGACCACATTTAAGTTGTGACAAACAAAGATATTTTAAATAGGGGAAAAAAAGTGGAGACTCTATAAAATTGTAAGAATGCCTATAGACCACCCCTATCTCAAAAGTGGTCAATCCCGTCGTGCAGGACAGAAACTGATGTTTTGGATTCCCAAGGAGCAAAGACATTTCCTTCCTTACCCATGTGTTTTGTATGATATTAGTGTTCTGTAAATATTCTATATTTGTATATTTGTGTTAGTCAACTTCCTACTGTTGTAACAAAATTCCCGGCATAAACAATTTAAAAGGAAGAAAGGAGTTTTGGGGGGTTTGTTTTGTTTTTTATTTTGTAATGTAGCATCATAGCTTCAGAGGTTTCTGTTCATTGTTTCTTCGCCCCTTTGTCTGGCTCTGTGCTAGCAAGTTACATCATGAAGGGATGTGTGCTAGACGATGTTCACCTCACGGCAGTCAGGAAAAGAAAATGTGGGGAGGGTGGTGGACCCAGGATCCCTCTTTAAGGGCACTCTTCCAGTGACTTATGACCTATCTACCCCTGCTAGGCTCTACTTCTTAAAGACTGCACAGCCTCCCAACAGTCTTCCAACAGCACCCCAGCTACAGCTAGCCACCATTGTCTGTTTATCATATGGGATTTGGGGACAGTGAAGCGCTAAGCCATACAAAAACTAACAAGACCACATTAGTGGAATTGTTAAAATATGCACAAATGAGTCCCCACCTTGTCCCTGTTAGCATTCGCTGAGTTAAGCTACTAATCTTTCGAGGTAGCTGTATCTGGGATACTTCCAAGAACAGAGAAGCCTTGGACTCTGTCCAGCTCAGACATTTACTAACAATGGCCTCTCAGTTTGACCTGTCTGTGGGCTTGTAAAGACATAAGGATTAAAGATACAAATGTAAAATGTGACCACCCCAGGGCCAGCACATACTAGTCACTCAACGGATGACAGCAGTTCATAGCCAACTATATCATCCAATAGGTGTGACAACCTCCATAAATATACACCAACCAAAAATGTCCCCCAATCTGTGACAGACAGACCAATAAAGCAGATGCACCAAAGGCCCCTAAACAGAAAAAACACTTTGAATCTGTTTGAGCCTGGGCTGGGGATGTCGCTCAGAGGTGGAACATTTGCCAGGGATGAGCAAAGCCCTGACCACACTGCCACCCTAAGACTAGCTAGATGTCTACTGTTGGGCCATGACCCAAAGCAACTTGGGAAGGAAGTGTGCATTTGGCTTACTGCTTAACAGTCCATTGTTGGGAGAAGTCAGGGCAGGAACATGAAGTCAGGAACTGAAGCAAAGACCATGGCGGAATGCTGCTTGCTGGCTAGCTCCTTCTGGCTTGCTCAGTTTGCTTTTTCAGAGACACCAGCACCAGCTCCCCCAGGGAGCTGAGCCTTTCTACATCAATCATCAATCAAGAAAATGTCTCATAGGCTTGTCCACAGGCCAATGTGATGGGGGCATTTTCTCAATTGAGCTTCTCTCAGATGAGTCTAGCTTGCGTCAAGTTAACAAAAATCTAGCCAACACGCACACACACACAAACACACACACACACACTACATTTTAAAAACAAAAACAGAGAAGAGAGCATGTTTTAAGAGCCAAATACTCTCTCAGACCAACAGGGTTCCAGTTCTTGATTGGGACCACCTTACTCTGCTAATCTGCCAGCGATTAGTCTGCCTCTTTCTCTCTTTTCTAAGAAGCTCAAGCTGTTCATCTGGGAAAAAAATACCACAATGTTCATCTCAAAGAGAATAAAAGATAGTGCATTCTGGAGCTAACAATATTAGTGACCAGGACTCAGGAAATAAAGTTCCCCTCAAAGATGATGTTCCAATGTGGGAGTGGGTTCATGAAGACTTTGATGTAACCGAACAGAGAAAGTTATAAACTAAAGCATTTGGAGATGCACAAGAGAACCTCAACTTCGGCCACAGATGCTATCTGACATCGTTCGTAACCCTTCCATTGGTGGAGAGTAAGATTTTGTGAAGACAATGCAGTCCAAAGATTTTATCTGTCCATCAGGGTGTTAAGTCTGACACACCTAAGGGCAAGGAATGGCTGCTGGGGACTAAAATAGCCTGAGACAGATTGTAATTAGATTCTTGACCTGGAACTCTCCACACTCAGTTGAAGTTTTGATCAGCCTTTGTAGGGGGCTTCCCTTCAGGAATTCCCATCCACTAGAGTGGGGGTGGGAGTCACATCCCCTGTCCAAGACCTACAAAGGCTGTGAAAGTGTTTGTCTAATTCCTGACCTCCAGACAGACACTTTCATCTTCAGAAAGGTCTGGTGGAGAGCTGGGAGCAGTATTTCATGCCTGTAACTACAGCACTAAGAGTCAGAAAACCTTGGCAAGTTCAAGGCCAGCCTGAGCTACATACATAGCAAGACTTTGTCTCATATAAATATATAAAAGGAAAGCCCCAGAAATGTTCACTGGGCATAGTAGCATATGTCTGTAATCTCAGCATTCAGAAGGAAAAACCAAAAGGAGCTGAGATTCAAGGCCAGCCTAGGCTACATGAGACATTGTCAAGAAAGAGGAAGAAAGAAGGGAGGAAAAAGGGCAGGAAGAAAAGAAGGAAATAAGGAACAAAGAAGGAAGGAAGGAAGGAAGGAAGGAAGGAAGGAAGGAAGGAAGGAA